GAAGATGCTACCTTGAAGCAAGTGGTCAGCTTAGTACAAGCTGTTTCCTTTGATGTCCTGCATTATGGCAAACACTTCAGAGTCTGCAAATATAAACACTCCAACAACAACATACCAGAGACCAAGGACAATTGACAACTTTCTTGTGGTTGTGAGAAATGAGTACTGAAGCATTTCTTGAACGAGACATATGCCTGAAAAACAAGAAAACAGAATCAAAAGAATGATTTGATGACTGGTCAATATAACTTGCACTGAGAATTGTTTATAACAGAAATATGGAAAGACCATGAAATCATTAATTCTGCAAGATGTTCAAGCATCAGTCAAAGATATAAACTCATTCAATATTCTTACTAATGGTAATTTCATTTAAATTATACCGTTGCAATGTGATTTGCTTACCTGGAAAGAAAAAAATAAACAATGCTGCCAGCCCACCAATAAGAGTTACAGCATATTGTATGTCTTTTACATAAACGGAAATAATTAGGGACGATGTGAACCACACTAATGTTTGTACAACCCGTCGTCTGGATTCATTCGTTTCAGCAAAAGATGGAGGCATTCTGAAGGCTGCCAGATACAATCCCTCCAGACAGCTCCTGTAAGACATGGACATGCATCAAATTTAAAGCCTTTTGATCATTCATTAACCATTTTGCAAATTTTAAAGATTAATGATGGGATTCTTTTTGGTTGAGCATTAGACTTGCCACAAGTCAACCTTTGGTCAGTCTTTTGTTTAATTGTCTCCCTCAAGGGCAATTTTTGAGCAATGAAGTTGCGAGCGCAAGGGACTCAAGTCCCAGAAGGTCAATGATCCTTTCCAATGGCAAAACCAACTGGCCAGGAAAGAATTATTGGAAAGGACTTTTAGAAAATATAGTAGCACATATGCCAAGTTGCAATAGGTACCCATCTTTCAAAACACCAAGCTGTGGATATCCTGTAATACAGTAAACTCTGTAAGGCAAACACCTTCAAGACCAGCTCAAGCCTGTCCAAACCAGATGGACTAAGGCACAGTTAAGTTCAAAGTGTGGATAACACCATACATAAAATATAAATCGCTATCCAGTGGATAAGTGTTGACAACACAAACAATCTGTCTACTGGATGGTGATAAAACTGGTATATCTTGCTATCCACATTCTGAACAGCTTTGCAATGTTAGGTGTATCACAGAGATTTCCAAGAAAAATTTACAAAAACATAATTATGGTGTTTTCTGATTGAAGTTATCTGTATTACAGGCAGTTCCAGAGATAATCAAGTTTGAAAAATGCGTAAAATATGCCAATCGGAGGACTGGTGAGGGCATTATATCAAGTATATGAAGAGCTAACTCAGTCAATGATATTATGCAGCAGAGACCATAGACACTTTGTAGACTAATAGTTCTTTAGGCAACACACATACAGACACATGTATATGAAAATTCCATTCCCATGGCAACTTACTCTCTTCCAGTCCACTCTGACCTAATTACAACATTTTATTGATTTTCAGCTCGGACAAATGAACCCAGACCAAGAACTTGACCTTGCATACAGTCGAACCTCCGGTAAGCGACCATGCAAAATGTCAACTGAAGCATAGGTTGTCACCTCTGGGAGGTGGTCGCTTACGAGAGCTTAGACCATATTGGATCAAAATTTTGCCTCAACAGCATAATTTATGGTAACTGCAGAGCCTTATGCATGCTTTAAAATTTAAAGCATGCGTAAGGCTCTGCAGTTACCATAAATTATGCTCTTGAGGCAAAATTTTGATCCAATATGGTCTAAGCTCTCGTAAGCGACCACCTCTCGGAGGTGACAACCTACGTTCTACATGTATTCATGTGGAGAGTCAATTAAAAAAAAATCCAGTACTTCCTATTGAGAAATTTAAGTCTCTTGTACTACCATGGAATACGATAATATTACACCTTATTCTTGAATTGTCGCTCTATTATCTGTCATGTGGTTGCTTCAGGAAGGTTAAAAACAAAACAATATTTCGAACTTTTATCTCTAAAAGTGATCGCGGTCGCTTACAAGAGGTTCCAAATATAGTGATTTAACTTGAAACCTTTTGGTATTTTGGAAAACTGGTCGCTGAGGAGAGGTGGTCGCTTGCAAGAGGTGGTCGCAACCAGAGGTTCGACTGTATCAATATGCTTGCTGGATCATGCAGATGAAACACCATTGGCAAAGATTAAGGGTGGCTAGTAGAGCCTTTAATATTGCAAGGNGATTTCCAAGAAAAATTTACAAAAACATAATTATGGTGTTTTCTGATTGAAGTTATCTGTATTACAGGCAGTTCCAGAGATAATCAAGTTTGAAAAATGCGTAAAATATGCCAATCGGAGGACTGGTGAGGGCATTATATCAAGTATATGAAGAGCTAACTCAGTCAATGATATTATGCAGCAGAGACCATAGACACTTTGTAGACTAATAGTTCTTTAGGCAACACACATACAGACACATGTATATGAAAATTCCATTCCCATGGCAACTTACTCTCTTCCAGTCCACTCTGACCTAATTACAACATTTTATTGATTTTCAGCTCGGACAAATGAACCCAGACCAAGAACTTGACCTTGCATACAGTCGAACCTCCGGTAAGCGACCATGCAAAATGTCAACTGAAGCGTAGGTTGGTGACAACCTACATTCTACATGTATTCATGTGGAAAGTCAATTTAAAAAAAATCCAGTACTTCCTATTGAGAAATTTAAGTCTCTTGTACTACCATGGAATAGGATAATATTACACCTTATTCTTGAATTGTCGCTCTATTATCTGTCATGTGGTTGCTTAAGGAAGGTTAAAAACAAAACAACATTTCGAACTTTTATCTCTAAAAGTGGTCGCGGTCGCTTACAAGAGGTTCCAAATATAGTGATTTAACTTGAAACCTTTTGGTATTTTGGAGAACTGGTCGCTGAGGAGAGGTGGTCGCTTGCAAGAGGTGGTCACAACCAGAGGTTCGACTGTATCAATATGCTTACTGGATCATGCAGATGAAACACCATTGGCAAAGATTAAGGGTGGCTAGTAGAGCCTTTAATATTGCAAGGACTGATACTCAGTATGTTGTCCTAGTAACAAAACTACTAGGCTCATATTGTGGAGCACATCCAATGGAATCTTACAGCAAAGAATCAAACACTTCTGATACAAATTGGCTGATATCTTGTTAATCATATTTGATCAAAATTTAGTTGAGCTTTTGAAATCATCACTTGGCTATCTTGCATATTTTAAAAAAAGATATTGATCCTGTACAGACTACTTGATCATGTTCTAAAATAGCTTAAATAGGACATATGTGAATTTCATCATAGTTATGTAGCATTTTGAGCCTGTGTTGGAGTGGCCTGCACATTTTGCAGCAGTGATGTCTGGTTTGAGACTTGACTGGGTTCAATAGGAAAAACAACATCGTCCAATACATAACAAATATTATTATGACATTACCTTCCACAAAAAACAACCATTGCTCCTGTTGACAAAACTATGACAGATATCATCACTCTTGCAATATTCACCAAGACATCATGAGAGTCATAACTCAAAAGCACATCACTCTTAACTGCTGTGCCAAACGTTAAGTAGCCAAATGAAGCTGTAATTGAATAAGCTGTACTACAAATTGCCATTGCGATGATGACAACAATTCCAAATCTAGGTACACTTGCTCGTTTGAGTTCTGCATACACAGCTACTGAAGGTACATGGCACTGGAAATATTCACAAATTGGACTGAATTAGTAATTATGTAGTACTTGAAGCACTCAGTGAAATCCTTCATATGAAAAAAAAACAAAAAAAAAACACTTTGACCATGAACATATCAATAGGTTTCACATTATTTTTATATTTACATGTACGTCTTTATATGAACACCTTGTGATTATGGCCACTTCCTTCTGAAGAATTTTAATACACTTTTAGAAAAGATCAGCCATTTACTTTCTAACTTTGAGACTCCTGGCTAATAAGAGAGTTTCGATATGTGAGCATGACTCAGAGGGTTTAGGGACTCTAGCAAAAGAAAGCATATTGAGCTTGAGGCATGAATAAAATAATCTATTTTCTAATTCTTTTTTTTTAGTCCTCTGAGCATGATAAGACTTTTAAAGTCAGCTGCCGGGATTGGCTGGATTAATGGTGTTTCACCCTTGGCTAAAATTAATGCAACACTAACTTAGAAGTTCAAAGAGAGAGCATTCAAGGAAGGGTTTCACGGTTCAGTGCATGTCTGTATTGTTTATTCACCTGTGCACACTTTTTGGCACAGGCCCAGTTTTTCATTGTTTATGAACCAATTGTAAGCAAGTTACCTAATTTTGCAGGCAAATAGCCATAAAATCATCAACCATAGAATAAGTCGTACGGTTCAAAACTAAATACAACGATGGACAATGTTGGTAAAATCCACTGAAATCTTCGGAGAATTTTGGTCATCCATCATTCTGCCGCAAATAACTGGAGCATGTGATTATTGAACTACAACTGAGTGAAATCGTACAGGTCAAAACTAAATTCAACGATCAACAGCGTTGGTAAAATCCACTAAAATCGTCAGAGAATTTTGGTCATCCGTCATTCTGCCGCAACTAACTAAAGCATGTGATTACTGAACTACATCTGAGTGTGGTTTTCAAAGTGAAACATTGATAAGAAGCAAACAAAAGTATTTTGATTTAGAGAAATGCTCCAAACCATGAAACTCTCCCTTTAACTGACAGACAATAGAACAAAATGGTCCTGATACTGATATTTAAACAATGGCAGAGACAGAAGTTTTGATCTAAAGATTACACTGAAGACCCAATGAGCCTTGCACATTACAAGAAGAACTTGTTTCGAGTTGCAACTAAATTATAAATACCAACCTGAAAACCAAAGCAAATTATTGGAACTGCAGCAAATGCCTCTGTCCATGGCAACTTTACTCTAAGATACAACAACAACAACAACTGAAATAAGATTGATTCATATGAAGGAAATTAAAGCTATCTCATATTTTCATTGAAAGCAAACCCAGCAGTATCAGTAGTTAAACATCTAGAAAAATACAATCAGCCAGCTGAAGTTAGTCCCGAAACAACAATTTGAGCAGAATCATCATCAGTCTACCCCGACTTGGATGATCACACTAGATATTAAACAACTGCTAACTTCCTGTTATGAGTGCAATCCACATAGTCTCCTAATCTGCAAGCCTTACTGCAGTAAACTGGTGGGACAGACATCTCGTACACTGAATCATGCATGCTCCAACAATTAGGTCGCCTTCTTACAAACTTTGTGACAACCAAATTAGAACTTGATTAATTAATTATTTATTAATTAATTACTTCTGATATGATTGTAAGTACAGTACAATGTCTAGATTGCTTGAGAATGATGCAGTTAAACAATGACAATACAATGACCACATTAGATGCAGAGACTTAAGAAACTAAACTAAATTTTGTCCTGTATCAGCCAGCTAGATAGCAAGATGCAGCTGCATGGATCTCATTAAATAACATCCACACAAACCCTTCAGTTGTACATGATTGTTACTTACTCAATAAATTCTTTACTAACTACATGAGACCCTTCAGCATATTTGACAGTAACTACTGCACAAACAAAAAATGCTCCAACTGTTCCAAGTACACTGAAAATAAAAATAATTGTCGAGTGAAACAAACAAGGGTAAATGGTTACAAACCAGAAGCTGCAAAAATTAGCTTCCTATATGATTTTATGCCGTTCATTTACTACTTATAACAATAATAATTTGTTAAATAATTTACTGTCGTTAAGATCATTTTTAATTAACACAAATGAAATTTCAATGAAAATATATAACCTCTATTACTTTTGTAATAACGACAATATAGGCCACAAACATGTTTAAGGTACAAGTCTTGTGAAAATAAAGTCAGTCCATCATGTCAACTGTATATTATCAAAATATTATAAAAACAAATATTATTATTTTCTTATTTAACACTGAACCAGCTGTTTCAAGTCCCTTTAGCTTGCCATTTCAAAATTCTCGTTTTCCCCCGCAAGAGTTCAAAATAGCAGAGTTTATCTGAGTTTACAACCACCTAGCAAAGTTGAGGTTGGGTGCCTTAGACATCCAGGAGCTTCCACTATTGGCAGCCAGATGGATACCACACCCTTAGCTTGCACATCCTGGTAACACAGCCATAAGCCCCCACACAGAAGAAAGAAAAAATAGGCACCCGTCACACTGATAAAGATATGGAACGAGGGAGGGAAAGGGGAGGGGAAACAGCCTCTGAAAAGAGCCCCCACCCCCAAGAAAACACCAACACTCAAGAAAATGCTAACTAAATGCAAAACTGCTGAAATGTATAATTTTGGTCCAGCAACATATGGAATCCAGACGGCAAGACTTGTGCTCCTTGTTGTTAACTCCATTAAATTGCATTTAACTGCATTTAAAATGAGAAGTAACATATTACATAACATTAACTGACCTTGAATAGCTAAGAACTTTTAAGGTCTTTGGTAGACACAGTGGCAAGAGAAGCAGGATACACACGGCACACATCAGAAAGTCCCGGCTTAAATACCAGGGAGGATGAGAGTTGATAGCTTCCCCAACTGGAAGTAATAAAAAAAAATTTCTTACCAGAATAATAAGGGCTGGCCAATGGTAAACCCCTGACTCAAGAAATAAATGAATATGAACTCAAATGATCTCCACATGGCTTTTAGTTTAAGCCATGAAGTGGAGATCCTAGAGATTGCATGTCTTAGCATTTTAGATGAATGGACTTCTGTAGGTTCCTTCAGCGACCCTAGCTTCAACAATTTACATGGCCA